AAATTTCCAAAAGTTCATTTCTTGTTTTTAAAGAAAATATTTTCTTGTATATATAATATATACGAGAAAATATTTTCATTTTAAAATGTGTGTTTGTTTTCTAGAATAGTTTTCTTTACAGCTTAAAGTATTAAGCTACTCCTGCTTTTACAAGTTATGAGTTGAATTAGAAAATGAACTTATTTTTACATTTAATAGTTATAAACATGACACATAAAAGATCACATTTGCTTTATTTAAATTTATACACTTCATATACACAACCTTTTCATTCAAAGTAGTAAACAAATAATTGAACAAAAATGATTCCGTACAATATGTACACTAATAATATTATTTCGAACTGCAATTCTACTTTCTCCTAAGCATCATGCATAGGATATAAAAAGTTTATAATTTAGCACAGGATAGTTTATTGATAGGAAGACACGTTGTCAATTCACACATAAAAAGTTATACCAATAATAATTATAAACACAGCAGTAGGAAAACTACAGCTCCATTTCAATACGTCTCTTTTTTTTTGTTGCATAAAATACAGTTTTCAATGTAATGTTTAGTTAGCTCTTGTTTAAGAAGCTATTTTAATTCACTTTTGCAAAACAAAAAAGGTACATGCGCTTTTTACGCTCAAAAGTGAAATTTATTGTTGAACAAAAGCGAAAAATTTATAGCTCAGTAAATGTTCAGGATTCTACTATGTAAAATAAATCACGGCAAAAGAATCACCAAAAAATAAAGCATCGGTAAAATGAGAGCTGGAAAAAAAATCTCATTAATATAAATGTAGTGCCTGATTCGATTTGGGCCATGGAATCCAAATTTAATATAATTAAATAAATATTCGATCGAAATATTAATAAAATAACTATTCAAAATTTGCTATTTTTGAAAAAATTAATTATAGTATACTCCTTAATTTGAAGCTGACTGAACGAAATATTTTAAATAGTTTTAATTGTAAATACAGTTATATGAATAGTACAAATAGTATTATTATAAATAATTTATTAATTAGCAGTAGTTTCTCTCAGGGAGGGTAAATCTTTTGATGAGTTAAAGTTACAGTAGAGTCTCGATTATCATATCCCTGATGATTCGAGAGTTTCCGCTTCAAACGAGCTATCAAACATTTCAAGAATTTCTTTTTTGTTCTAGTTTATTTTTAAAACTACCGCTGATAAAAAAAAATCCGAATTTTATCTTCCAAACAGTCTGGAAAACGAAATGCAACAACTTGATCCGATGAAATAATCGTCAATAATGAAAATGAATCTAGCGAAGATGATGAAGACAGTGACGATGAAAATCCTCCTATAAAAATCTCTCATGCGGATGAACTAAAAGCTATCGAAAGTGCAATTGAATATGCAGAACAACGAGAGGATGGATGCGATACCAGCCTTCCTGTCATCTCCAAAAAATGGCGTAACATTGCTGTAGAAAAGCGCCAAAGTAATGTAAAACAAAAAATCAATTAAGGACTTTTTTAAGTAAAAACTCTTTCATTCTCGTAAAGTTAGCTCTTTTATTATAATAATGAATTGTATGTCTCGTATAAATTTTGTATTTGTTAAATATTTTACATTTATAGCTACTTTTTCCTTTTTTATACTCTTCGCTTTAACCGAGTTTTCCGGTTTAGCAAGTTTGTAGTGGTTCACATTAAACTGGATAATCGGTATTCTACTGTATTAACGAAATTATAAAGTGTTTCAATTTAATATGATTAGTTGAAAAAGCATTATTTGCATATTATTATGTAACAGTGCAATAAGTAATTGAAAATTTGAACAATTTAAGAACTGCTTAGGAATCCTAATCATTTTGTCAAGTAGAATTAAGTAGGAAAGTTTCCTTTCCGTAAACTATAAATTAATCCTTAGGAAATAATTAATTTTTTTAAGAAATATCTTAATACGTACGAATAATTATTTAACTTCATTAAATTCGGGTTTAGCAGCCCAAATCGAATCGGTCGTTACATTAAAATCTAATGAGTTTTTTTTCCCATGTGCTTCTTTGTTCTTCCGTCCACCATACAAAATACACACGAGAGCCAAATATTATTTGTTCGTTTCAGAGTCTATATTTCAACCTCATTAAACTACTTTGGTATCATTTAAAAAGATTCATTAGATAGATAAATATTGATATTTGTATATCTGATTATATCTGACATTGGTCAAAAATATAAATATCAAATAGGTAAGTATATCACATAAATAACTCGGAATATCCTATGGGAGATGATTCAATGCGCTTGGAATAATATTGGATACAAAATTTGGCAAAGTCTTCACCGAAACTTTGGAAAACAGTTGATATTTTGACTACATTTGTTATTATGACAACTTCTTTAATAGCGTAATGAAATATGTCGTCAATTTGCTTCAATAAAAATTATATTCAAGAAAGAATTTATCAGAATTTCTAATAAAAACAGAAAAAATAAGTGTATTGAAATTATATACGATAGTGTACATATAAATTTTAAATGATTTCTTTAAAGATTTTTTAGCACGTTGTTTAACATTCAGTTAAATAACATTTCACATTTCTATGCAATTGCAATCTGCATTCATAAAATATCATAAAATTTGGCACTTTCAGTAAAAAAATAAATTTGAGAATCTTATTTAAATAAAACGTTACTCTCAAGTGTTGCTGTTAAAATGAATCATTATAAATGAATGAAATGGATAAAACTCAATATTGGAATCTCAGAAATAAAATTTTTGAAAATAAATTTGAACCAATTAATCGAATTTATCACTCAATAACGCTCGCACCTGTAAATCCTATCGCAATAAAGAGTGTTTGCGTCGCTTTTTTATCAGTTTCTTTTTCTCATGCAGCAAAATGTTGCCGTTGCACCGTGCATTTACTGTTATCAAAATATATTTTGAAATTTGGAAAGCTAGCAAAATTTAACAAGACTAGAAGCACAGCCTTCCAACAGATACTTTTAATTTTCTCGTTACAATAATAATAATAATATGTCAAATAATAAGTATTTGCCAGTAAGTAAATAAATAACACAGCATTTTTAAGCAATATATGAAGCATCAATAAGAAAATTCAATGGTATGAACGATTATTTCATGCAAAAAAAAAAAATCTCTTCAATGTCAATACACAGAATAACACAAATTCAGAAAACATTACAAAGAAGGTACAACCAGAAAAAAAAACCTTTTTTCTTCTATCCTTAACGATCAAAATTATTATTTTTGGAATACTGACTTTTAAAAAACGTTCATAATACGAAAACAAATTAATTTAGAAGCATTTAATGAAAATGAAATTTGCTCATTGTTCACCAATAGGTCTTAAAATTAGGTTTTATGTTAGGCAATTGAATTCCCAAGACTGCAGAGGCTAACGTTTTTTATTGTATAAGTCTAGTAGTTTTTCCCGTTTAAGTTGACATTGAGTAAAATAAGTTGAATTATCATTTTAAAAAAAAAAATGTTATAAATTGAGATAAAGGTTATCATAGAAAAATAATTCTTTATTCTTGAATTTGGTTACTTTATTTCAAATTTTAAAATTTGATGAGAAATACTGATTCAAGAATTAGAAACTATGAATGCATATCATTTAGCAATTTATTCAATAGATTTTTATTTAAATTTTTTTTCTTCTTGAAATTACGAACCAATGATCCGTTTACCACTGATGATATTTCACTAAAACTCTGTGGTTGCTGCGAGCTGGGTGCGGAATTCGAATTGACAGTCATCGCTGGGATTCGAACCCAGGTCAGCCTTTTGAGAGTCAGCCAGGTCAGCCTTATAATGTTTTCCGCAACTCACTTTCATTTTGGAAACGGAAAAAAGTCCTTCATTCCATTACACAAGAGCATTTAATCCTGTTCTCTTTACGTAGTTTTAATTCACACTGTGTGAATCTTCTCTTTTGATTAATAAAACACTTTTAAACGTAGAATAAATAGACATTTTCAAATTAAGGTTTCTATTGTTTAAACATATACATATAAAACGTAATGCATATTTTATCAATTGAGTTCTCGAATCAACAACAGTTAATATTGCTCCGAAGTTTAGTTGGCACTAAAATGGTTAGGGAATTTGGCACTTTCAGATGTAAAACGCATTTCAAAAATAAATTGGTATTTTAACAGAATAATTAATATCCTCTGTAGTAGTAAAATAATAAAATAAATAAATAAATAAGAGATTTTTTTTCAATGCTCCTTCTGGATAGCTTGTTTAGAAAATTTCCCAAATTTTGCCCGACTTTTTTATTTCGAAGTTTTAGATCCGTTACAATCTAAAAGGGGGCTAAAAACTGTTTTTCAACATCATAACAGTTGCTTGCAGCAATTTTAAATACGGATCTGTCGGCAACAGTTATGAAGTTATTGTTGCAAATTCTCAGTAGTTATGAAAATATTATACAATTCATGAAAATAACGTTATTTCGAAATGACGACAGAAATCAATAAACAACCTCATAAAAAATGATGATATTCCTTGAAAAGTGCGATTGAAATAATATACATCGCACAAAATGCACAATTAAGAAAATGAATAAAGGTTTTTATTTTATTTTAAAGAAATGGATTCTGGTTCGATTCTGGTTTTTCAAATAACTATTATGTATGACTATTGCATTTTTGAATTATTTTTTAGTAAAAGCTGATTATTTATAGTGAATTGAAAATATGAATATTCTTATTGATTTGCAACACACCGACTAAAAATTTAGATTTATTGTTTAACATTCCTTAAAATTTTCAGACATTTCAATTTTTTTCAAGTGTGCTTTTATTTATCATATCTTTTTCCTATAATCCTTTTCCTACATTTTGGGCTGTCTAATTTTTATTATAAAAAAATTATGTGAGTCTTAAATAATGTTTAATAAATATAACGTTTAATAAAAAAAATAATGTATAAGACTTACATTGCAATAATGTAAGTCTTAAAATTAAAAGTTCTCCTACGATCTATTTCTATTAAAAATCAATCTTGAATTAAATGGTTTAGAAAAATTAATGATGTTTAATAATAATTTTAGCACTCATTCTAGTTAGAGATTCAATTTCTTTTTTTGATTTGTCAAAATTATTTCAGATATATTGATTTTTGAATCACACAAGGGAATCACTTATGTTCACGTTTTGCTTAACTTATCGTAAACTTTCGTTATCCTCAACTTTCTCACTTTTTGCTTAACCTTTTCTTTGTAACACGTTTTGCTTTTAACTATGTAAACGCTTACGTTAACTTGTTATGTTGACTATATAAATGTTTATGTTAACCTTTTATGTTAAGTTAACTATGTAAATGCTTATATATTTGCATAGAACCGTGGAAATCGGAGTATTTTCAAAATAATTTTTTTTTAATGTTGAATAATTTTAATTGGGTGAGTATACGCTGTTCGATTCTCAGATGTGGGAAGGACCTATAAATTATTCATGAAAATATGTACTTTTCTTTTCTTTTATATACACAATAAAGAAGTACATATGCTGTCGTGTCCAGTTAAGATTCCGAACAAAGGTTTGCTCATCACTGCTGATAAACAGTTGCAATGAAATAAATCGAATTTAAGAACAGAAGAAGGCTCCTGAGGTGCTGATGATTTCTTTTCACAACCGGGCAATCACATGACTTGGGTCGCTGCCACATCTTGAAACTGTCTAAAGGGGAAGAAAATATCACTTATTTTGGCTTTATCAGAACCAGTAGATTTCCTTACTTTCTTGGGGCTGACCCTCCAAACCTGGAAAAAATAAAAAGAGTACAAATTTGAATAATAGTACCATTCTAAAGAATTACATTTGATGGAAATAAATAAGTAAGAAATTTGCATAATTGGTACGGAAAAGACATTTGAAAGTCAACAAAATTTAGAGTATCCTTTTATACTAATTAAAATTCTTGATGGTCCCATGAAAAAATTTTGATGGTTCATGTTGGTTTCAGTGCGATTCATGATAGTTCGATATCATTTGATGATCACCATCATCCAACATTTTTCATTACGTGTTCCATCGTTCAAACTTTCATCGCTCCATGATGGAAAATGCTACTTCAATGCTATGATGGTTAATCATCAAGAGAAGTTTGACTCTCATGGACCAGCGATCCATGATGATTCGTGACAGTTTATGATGGTTCAAACTATACAATTGCATGATGGTTTAATGGGAATTCTTGTTGGTTCTCAGGAATGTACCGTCAGAACAATTTATTAATCAGTACGAATTCCTACGTTGGGATGAGGGTTGTTCATGATCGTTTCAGCATTTGATTTCTAAGAGAAACTATGATGGAAATTTCCGATGGTTTAAAATGAACAAAAAATTAAAACAAGTTGCAATTCTTATGTTGGAACATCATAAATCAGTCCGATATTGAGGTGATGGTTACTTATGTTAGTTACCATCAAAAAATATAATGGTTTATAATGCAATTATTGATGGTTACCATCAAGATTATGTTGGTCCATCAATGGAAGACCGTCAAACATTTTGACTTGGTTATACAAGATACTCTCCATAATGCTTACTTTCTAAAATATAGATTTGCAACAGTCAGAAAATATGCTCATTTAAAGGCACAAATTAAGCGAGAAAAAAAAAGACATCAAAAACTAACGAGTCACTACTGAGGAAGGCGCTATTAAAACAGAAATGAATCGAAAAAGGGAAACAACTCGAAGATTCATCACGCATTAAAAATGATCACTGGCTCTAAAGTTTTTCATTCCTCTCTCTTTTCTCAATAGTGATTCGGCAGAAATCCATGACGTTCTTCAATCGCTCTTAAATATAAACGTACATATTTTCTGTTTTGATTTCACAACGAAAGGACTCGTTCTGACGGTTAAGCAAGACTTTTATATTGTGTAGGAAATGAAATTTGGATCAGTTTAATAAGATTCTAAACATTGGTATGAATATATCATTTTAAATATTTGCTTTTCGATTAGGAAATAGCGACGGTTAATCTCTGGACAACAATGACGCCATCTCGTTTCTCGGAGATAGCCCTGCGTAATTCCACAGGAATTATATGAACATTTAATATTTTCCAGGCGTACGAACAGTAAAAAAGTATTCGTTTTAAAAAATAGCTTAGTGGTATCAATCTAGAATATACTACCGTATACTTTACTGTAAAAGTTAAGCAGTTCTATAGAACCGAATCTTATACTGTGAAAAATGAAAAGTGCTGTGGAAACTAACCTGTGAAGTGTCATTTATTGTAAAAGTTGAGTAGCACTGTATGAAGTCAAAATTTTTGATGGTTTTCCATTGATAGACCAACATAATCTTGATCAATAATTCATCATAAACCATTATATCTTTGATGGTAACCAACATAAGTAACCATCACCCCTATGTAGGCATTCGGACTGATTTTTGATGGGCCAACATATAAAAAAAAATGCTATGATGGTTCATTGCTGAGGAACCAACAATAATTATTATTAAACCATCATAGAAATGCTTTGTTGTACTATCATGGGTCATCACGAATTTCCATCATAGTATCTTAGAAATCAAATGTTGGAATGATCATGATCAATCATCATCCCAATGTAGGAATTTGGACAGATTTATGATGGTCCAATATAAAAAAACACAATTTGTTTTGATGATATATTCCTGAGAACCAACAAGAATTCCCATTAAACAATCATGGAAATGTATATTTGGAACTATCATGGATTGCTGTTCCACGACAATCAAACTTCTCTTGATGGTTAACCATCATAATATTAAAGTAGAATCATGGAACGATGGAAGTTTGTTGGCATATCAAAAACCACGAACGCGTAATGGAGAATGTTGGATGATGGTGACCATCCAATGATGTTCGAATATCATGAATCGCACTGAAATCAACATAAACCATCAAAATGTTTTGATGGGACGATCAAGAATTTTGTCTCAGGGTAGACAAAACATTATGCTTATTAAGTTTTTCTCTAAAAGTTGAATAATACTGGCATTTTACAGCTAAAATTTGATGAATACTGTGAAAAAACATTTTACGGTATCATTTGCTAAAAAATTGGATATTACCGTTGAGAAAGTGTTTTATAGTATCATTCATCTCTAAAGTTTTCTTGAATTATTTCGTCGCATTAAATCCATCGAGTTTTTCTAAAAGTTTTTGAATGCAAAATTATATGAAATAGGGAGTGTCTCTCTTAAACAAACAGCAGTAAAAAGAGGTGAAAAAATAAATAAACAAAAAAATGTAAAAGATTTTCCTTTTTCATAAAAAGCGAAAGTTGAGAATCACCGCAATATCAATTCTCAGTGCTTCTCAAATAAGAAACCTCTTCAACAACAACAATACGCGGAATTGAATAAATAAAATAAAAATAACAAAGCGTATGAAAAAAGAATATTAAGTGAGGAGGGCGTAGAATGTGGTGGTGGCATCGAAGCAAAAGGGGGTGTGTGCAAGAATTCGAGCAGAAAACGAAACGTGTGGGAGGGTGGAGGGGAATAAATTGCGCATTATGGGCAAAGGATGCGCTTCAGGATTACGCATAGGGTGGGAGTGGAGGGAAGGTATCAAGAATGGAATTTAGGAATGCGGGATCAATAACGGGAGTGGGGGGGGGATTGCGGAATGTTAGATTTTCTCGCCCCTATCATCCTCCAATCGCAGCGTCGGACGGTGGTCTCTCTCTCTCCTTCCCCATAAAATAGAAGATGAGCGGAAGGGGAGGGGGGAAGAAATTGAATTAGAGCGAATAGTGTAGGGGGGTGGGGTGTTGACTGATATCACATCCAAAAGAGGAAATGCTGTGTTTGGGGAAGAGTTAAGTTTAGAGGGGGAAGAGATGAAGGTGTTGAGATGTTTTTGGAAATAATAAAATAATATATATATATATATATATACCGTTGAAGGAACACCTACATATCGTTACTACACACATTAAACAAGTTTAAGTTGAAAATAATTGAACTAATTTGCAATCTAATTAATGTATATTTAGAGTAGCGATTAGGGAACACCCTATATATCATTACCACATATAGAAATTACAATTAATCTGAAACTCATTCGTAATCTAATTAATATATATTATGAGTGGTTATTTAGAAACACCCTATGCATCATAACCACACATAATAATTGTGACGTATTTCGAATAAATAATTTGAAATAAAATAAGTTTATATTTGANGGGTTCGAATCCCAGAAATAGCTGGTCGACATGAATTCCGCATCTAACTTGCACAGACTACAGTGCTGACGTAAAATATCCTCAGTGGAAGATGGATCATGGGTAGTCCATTTGTCGTCAGGCTAACCGTGGGAGGCTGTCGTGGTCCTCCTCTCCATGTACCGCAAATGCGGGTTTAGTTTCATGAAGAAGTCCTCCACGAAGGCAAATTTCTCCCAATACTGGATCCAGGAGTTTCCTTGTCTTCTAGATTGGTTTCAAAATGAGAAGACTACGAAGTTGAACTTTGGTAGGCGTAAACCCGAAAAATTGGATCAGCTGTTCAACGACGATTATAAAGTAAAATATAAATGGGAGTAAAACATATGCCACAAGAGATATAAACTATAAATGGAGCAATGTAAGGTCAATGTGAAAAACAAACAAACTACTAAACAAAAAAAAGAAGAAAAAACAAACAAACTACTAAACAAGAAAAAGAAGAAAAAACAAACAAACTACTAAACAAAAAAAAAAGAAGAAAAAACAAACAAATCTAATTTAACGACAGTAAAAGCAAGACATAGGTTTGTGTTAAAAAGGATGAAATTATAATATTTCAACTTAGGCATTCTGCTCAATTCCGTATTTTTGTGGGCATGGACTCCCCGGATCTTTCACCGACTTTTGGATGTTTTAATATCCTGTGGCTGACTCGTGATTCTAGCGTATGTTCTTGCTACTTTTGTGCTGTTCGATTGCTCCTCATGTTACGTCACATCAATTATTGTTTGGAAAGATATTTAAAACAACGTTTAGTTACGATGAGCAAATGATGCAAGTTAAACATTTCTAGAAGCCTTATATCATCCATCTCTAGTGTAATCTCTCGCCGAATTTGGTGTTGAATAACCCAATAAAAAAATGGGATGGAGGACGTTATTTCAACTCTATATAAAGCGTTCATTTACACTTTAAATTCTTACACTCTCGTGCATTTTTCTTCCATCCAGTCGTAAATTATTTTCGCTTCCAAAAGCACCGATTTTACCGTATGTGGAATATCGATAATCGTTTGTTCACGAGAGAGGATGATCAAAATGTTTGTATGTTTTCAGTCGTGTCATAAGGATAATTACAGTTCAACATCTGCCAATTACTGTGCATCGGATGAGAGAGAAGCGAATTCTTAATTATTGGAAGAATGTGTCCTCAATCTGAAACACTGAGTGACGTGGAATCGAGAGAATTAGAAAATGAAGTGATGGAAAAAACAATGAAACGTGACACAAAAAAAGTATATTCGTTCGGTGTGTGTGTATGAGAGAGAGATGAGATGTCTAGCAAAAAGGATTTTGGATTATTTTTAATGTCAACTTTTGAATATATTCTGAAGTTGTAATGTGGATGAATGAATGCTGATAAGTTTGAGAAATTTATGCATGTAATAAAATAATTTGTGCCTGTGTGTCTGTATGCCGATAAGTGGGTACTTAGTAAACTCTAAAAATACTACATTTGCTTTGAAGCTAAATGAGTACATTTCTAAACAAATTACAAAACCCGATTTTTAATTTTTTAATTATATTTTTGATTCAAAGATTGGGATAGCCTTGTTGGTAGGGTTATGAACTCCCGTTCGTGAGAACGGGAGCCGGATGAAAACTCCTCGTGTAGTAAATGGTGACTGGTGCACGTTAAATCTGTCGTACCACAAAGTCCTCTATAACAAATCAATATCTCTGGGGATACTAATTTGGAGATTGATAGTTCTCTGGTTCAGGTCATAGTTACGATCTGTGGATGGATGAATGGGTCAACGATATAAAGGGGTGTGACGTATGCTTGTGGCAGAACTCGAATTCTTGGACAAAGATGGCACCATTGGAAAACAACATCAATCACACCCCCTCTGCCTTAATCTTCAACGACAACAATAGCAACAACTACATTCAATATGTAGCTAAATGAGTACATTTGCAAACAAATTACGAAACCCGATTTTCCATTTTTTAATTATATTTTTGATTCAAAGGTAGTTGAAAAATAGTATTTCCGCAATGGTATTCTTGGTTTTGTGGAACCCACATTGCTTTAAAGTAAATAATATGTTTGCTAGCATATAGCGCTAATCAAAAAAGTGTGCTCCATAATACTTAATTATTTTTTATTCGTCTTTATGACAGGTTATCTGAATAATCAACGTAATTGCTGTGCCGTAGACAGACTACGAGACCAAATTAGTATTTTTAAGGTTACCTGAAAATACGTCTTTATTTTGTTGATATTTATGCTTTTGAAACGTGTTTTAAAAGTAAATAATTTAAAATCTACAGTAACTGAATTGGAAAAAAAAATTTTGCTCTGAAAATCAGAATTAATGGAAAAATGGTTCTAATTTGTTGAGGATAAATGTAAAAACTGCCAATAATATTATTGATGCCAATGGTAATTAATTTTGGTAATGGTTATTAATTGAAGTAAAATAAGCTATGTACTAAAATAATTTTAGTTAATTTATTTTTTAATAGTTACTAATTGAAGTGAAATACACTGCTTGACAATTACTGAGGAACAACTGATTTATGTAGAGTAGCATTCCCTACAGCCCACCAGTAACTGTAAAGTCAAACACAGAGGGCGATGTAGAGCAAGACCAGTCTTACGTATAAAAAGCAGTGTATACTATCTATTCATTCAATAAAAAAACTCATGATAAGGTTTAACAATGTAGCATCTTAGATTGTTGAACTTATTTCTGTGAAATTCAAAGAGGTGTTGCATTAATTAAGTGCATAATATCAGCAAGACATCATTTGACGATAGCGGACGAGCAGTTTCACTCCTGGAAGAAGGTTAAAGTGTCACCACTGTGGCCACAGCAATGGGAGAGTCCAAAAATGTCCTCTCCATGCAAAACGTTATGCAAAAGCATGCCGGTGGTCGTGGCCACACCTTAAGAAGATCGATATGTATCCCTAGTGGCAAAAAGGAACAGAAATATGTCACCTTGCAACCACTACCGGTACAAAGGTTTCTGTCAAAACAAACTTACGGAGATTAAAACAAATTTGCATACACGGAAGCCTGTTCGATGCTTTTCGCTCCAATCACGCTATCGTCGAGAAGGATTACGTTGGTGTAAAAAACACATTGGTTGGGATCTGGTTCACCAACAGTGATCCAGAGGGATATTCAATGTGACAAGTTATTCTGGTCACCAGCTAGTGTGGAGAGAGATGGGGAACACGTTATGCGCAACAGTAAGTTCATGAACGTGATCGGTGTGATTCATGCGTGTGTTCAGGCATCATGCACAATGGCAGAACACCGTTTCAAATCTTTGAGAGAGATAGCACTACATCTCAGCGGTATTGCAGAGAGATTGTTCCGAACCATGTTCGTCCATTTAGGGGTGTGGCAGGTTCAGAATTTATGTTCATAAACGACGGCCACACAAGAGCGCTGAGGTATAGGACACACTGGAAAGTAAAAGTATTGTGCAATGGTCTGCGTACTCTCTGGACCTGAATCATACCAAACCTGCCTTGCAGGCCAGGATAGCCTGTGGGTAGGGCACTGGGCTCATGTCCAAGAGTTCGGGGGTTCGATCCCCGCCGGCCGAAGACTCCCCGTGTAGTAAATGGTGACTGATGCACGTTAAATCGGTCGAGTTGCAAAGTCCTCCTTGTTCCTATAACAAATCAATATCTCTGGGGGTACTGATCCAGGAGTTGTCTTGCCTTCTGGATTAGTTCAAAATTACAAGGCTTCGGAGTCGAACATTAGTAGCCGCAAACTTAAAATTGGGTCGACTGTTCATCAACGGATATAAATAAATAAAAAAAGAAACCTGACTTGGATCACCTTGAAAGAGGAGTGAGACCCCCAAAGGGCACCGTTTAGTGGAGAGCATAAATAACATGCAAAACGTTCATTATTGTCTGAGGTAATAATTACATCTTTGTGAGATACTCATTCCTGTTTCATTCTAACAATAAGAACCATTTTTCGTAGCTATTTGAAAATTATATAAGGAGAATATTATATTTAATTTTCTTATTTTTAGATGGAAAAATATTTGTACCATTTTGCATATTAATAAATGCACATTGCCTCCACTAAGTTTGCACATTTCATTACTTAAGTTGTTTCATTACTTAAAATAATGTCTATTATGAATTATACCGGAAATACTAACTGTTCCTTAGCAATTGTCAAGCAAGGTAGTAAGCTATTTACTAAAAGGTAAAATGAATGGAGAAGCGGCACTAAATACGTTAAAGAGGCTTAAAAAATCGACAATTGTTGAATTCAATGATGCCTTAATTAAATTTTCGTTGTCGTTGCTTATTGAAACTTAAGTACTGAAATACAAAGTAAATGGAGAAAATGTAATTAATAGTTATGGAGAACAGTAAAAAGTAGCCATGCTGTTATTGACCCCAATAATGCTTAATTTTGGTAGCAGGCACTACTCCCATAATTGGTGCAGTTTTAATGTGTGCCAAATATACTCCTATATAGGTACAAAGTACTTAAAGAATAAATTCGGTGACGACTACAGCTACACTGTACATTACTGAAGAAATAGGCTTTTACGGTCCTTCGAGAACACGAAGAAATAGCTTGATTGCAGCAAATTTGAAATATCATGAGTTGCAAGAGGAACAGTGTTGTGCAGATGCAACCGAATGCAGTTAAGCTTTATCTTGATGGGATGAACGACTAAGAAGTGTTTTTGCTTTTTCTAATAACGCAAAACTACCGAGAAGGGCAATTAATAATAATAAAAATATTAGAATTATTTTATTTTATTATTTCGTCTGTATTTGTCTTACAGTTTTGTGCATGGTTCTGAAGCGTTGTTCATTTTTTTTTCACCCCGTGCAAAGAACGGGTATTTTTTTTAATAAAAAGAAAATAATGCTATTGGTTCTTTCTCGTATAATGAAAGAAAAAGAATGCTTATATTTGAATTCGAACATGAGGTAAGATTGAGTTTCGTATTTTTCAAACTGCAAGAGATTCTAAATTTTCAATAACTTTTCTTGTTTAAATAATTATGAATTAATTTATTAAATAATATGAAATTGAGTTTCCTTCAGAGAAAAGTCAAAGACTGCTATAGTTTCATTTTTTTAAAGAGGAAAAAAATGCCTCAAATGTAATTTGTTTTAATTCAAAATAATATAAATTGTAAATATTACAAGTAATTCGTTATTATTTCTCTCTTGATTTTTAAAACAAGCTAATTTCCTTGTTACTCTAATAAACAATTAATGTTAACTAAACAATTAATGTAAAAACTGAATAAGTTGCAAGGTTTTTTTTTCCTTGCGGCCCTGTTCCAAAAAAAAAATTTTCTTCCCCCGCTTAGTAAAATCATTTTGGAACTAACAGTTTTATTGTCAAATTGAACATTTTCTTATTTCAAAATAACTTTTAGTTAAAACATTCAAGAAAATTAAAGGACACAGAAGAAAAAAAAACATCTTGAAGATACATTCTGCAATTAAATCTTCAGAAAGCTATCAAGAATTCAAGCCATTTTAACATAAATTGTATGCTGGTAGACAGATCTATCCCCCCATTAAAAATTAAATAATTCGAGTTTAAGGTTTTAAAAATAAATGCTTAAAGTGTATCTGCACAAATTCCATTTTTACGAATGTCTACTTATTTTCTTTTTATATTGTTTCATGAACAAGTAATTTATTGAAATATAAAAAGCGATGATTTAAAGTCATGAATAACATAAAAGCTGGTAAAATAATAAAGTAAAAGAAAAGAAGAAGAAAAAAAAAGGCCACCACCACCAGAAAACAAATTATAAAAAAAGGTGTCACGTACTGTGTTGTCACCTGTATGACATCTGCATGCTGTGTAACACGTTGTAAACACTCGTAAAACCAGCCTCTGTTGGGTGAGAGAGAGAAAGAGAAATAAAAAAAAATAAAAAAAATATTTTTTTAAAAAATTCTAATCACTCGGATATGATACGATAAAAAGTTTTAAAACTAATATGTACTCAATTTGAGGGATGAATCGAATCATTAAAATATTCTTTTTTTCCCCTTCTTTTTAGTATATTATATTGACTCTGATTTGGATGAATAAACTCCTAATCTGTTTATTTTAATGCATTGATTTCAATTTCAAATAAAATTTGTTTATTTTAATCTGCCTTTCGAAACAGTTTATTCTAATCTAAATATTTGAAGAAATTTCGTCTGATTATTTTAGATCCTGAGACCCACGGCTTAAATAATTTTCAGAAAATGCTAATTTAGAAGTAAGTAATATCATAACTGCAATAAAATACTTCACGTTTTCTTAAATAATTAAACAAACTTAATTAATTTTTTTTGATATTTTTAATAGATGGATTAAAAAAGGATAACTTTTAATTTTATCATTTTTTTTGCATACTATAGGATTTATGTAGGATATTGCATTTCATCATGTTCGTCGTGAAGCAAAAGCCAATTAGACTCTAAATAATAGGATATTTATATGCTATGAAAAATATTTCTTGAACAGAATTTCTTACCTTTCTTAGAATACTTCATTGTATTTCCCACGTACGAGATCTATTTGCTTTTTTACACAATCAATGGGCTTTGTGAAGTTATGTCAACAGAAATCATAAGGTATAATTTTTTTAACAGATAAAATAGAACAAAATATGTTCAATATGTTGGACTCCGGGTCTCAGGTTTAACTGGTATTGACAAAGCATGAAGTGCGCCAAATACGTAGTATATATTCTTAATGTGTATGTAAAGGGGACTTTAGAGTAAATTGTGGAGTTTCATGGCAAGCATCATTACATGTTTACATATATGACATAAGAATCCGAAAACAAAGTTTAATTCATAGAAAAATAACTATTTTAGGAATTATTCCCGAATTCTGAATGACAAATAAAATTTGATTTTTTTAGATTATAAAATGATACTTTTGAACACCTCCGGAATATTTTAAATAGTGTTCATATTTGTGTTTAATTTTTGCAATCTATATTTTACTTAATTTTAGAATTTTGATTCTAATCTTAAATATGTTGAGAAATTTTTGCGTATTGTGAAAATCAAATTTTGCAAAAGAATTGAAAAATAGTTTATTTATATATTTCTTTCTTTCACGTGGTACAAAAACGCGATTCTTTGCCTATTTAAATTGGTAAATATCTGTAATTATTTATTTTGTTAGGTTGTTTTAAGTAAAATAGTGCTAAATAGTGTTTTTTAATGTTTTAATGTAAAATATTTTTGTTTTTTAATGTAATGTAATGTGTTTTAAGTAAAATAGTGTTTTTTAATTTATTTACTGAAAACAATTTTAATTACTTTTTGTCTATTTTGCCTTCTTGATATTCTAAGAGCATATGCAACACCAACCTCATGTAAAAATAACATACTTCAAAATCTTTTTCTGAAATTGAAAATAGACGAATTGGAAAGATCTTAGTCTAGTAGATTTTTCATAAAAAATATATTTAGAACCTACCAAAAAATTGTTTCAATATGTTTAGGAAAACAAATGGGTCATTTTTAAAACGGTGTTGCAATGAAAACAACCATTATATTGCATTTTCAAAATGCTGCTTTAAGATAGTAGCACATTTAAGTTTACTCCGTACCTTGCAAAGTAGGTACATTGCATTTCTGAGGTATATTTTTTGAACTGAAATGAGTAAAGCAAAAAATGAGGATTTTCTCTATTGTTTTATCAATTTATAAAATTTTCTCACTAACTATAATCATGAGTGCGATTCAAGATAATTCAACATATTTAAAAGTTACACGCCCTTAACTAATACATTTTTCAAAAATTCACTTACGCAAGATTTACTCGAGGTTCACTCATGCAACTAACTTGTTTAAAAAAAAAGAAAATGCTCAGGTGACTAACAATTTTCACTCACAAAATTAACATGCTGATAAGATGCTCACTCACACTGATAATGAACTCACGAAATTACCTTATTAGCTAACGTGTTTAAAAAAAAATACATGATACAAATTTCACATGACTAACAATTTTCACTCACAAAATTAAGATGTTGATAAGATGCTCACTCACGCTGTTAACGAACTCACGAAATTACCGTGTTAACTATATGTTCATTAACACTATCAATCTAAAAAGTTTACTCATGCTATTAGTGTGTTCCTAAAAAATTTCCTTCACAAAACTAACACGTTGATTACACACTGTCAATTAACCTGGTTCACTCCCTAAACTAACAGGTTTATTAATAATTAGCGTCCATAACTAACAACATGTTGATGAACTTACCAGTCATGGGTCCGTAGGCGGCGCCATAGTTGGAATCCATGTGCCCAATCGGATCATGATACCTGGAAGTGCCCCAGCTTTCTGCCGCCGACTTCTCCAAACTAGCGCAGGCCGCAGCCGCTGCGGGTCCTAATCGGGCAGCAGATCGAACTGAGGGCTGCAAAAGGAGAGATCCGTACTGGGGCGTGAACCTAGAAGCCCCGGCTACGGTTGACATACTGGGGTGATAGGAAGTGAGTTCGTGTGACCTGTGGTGACCAAAATGTCCGGGTTGTCCTGTCAGCGTATAGTGCCACGGGTCATTTTGATGGTGGAGGGTCGCGTGTAGAGTACCGGGATGATGATGATAAGGGTCACCACCATAAGTGAGATCTGGTGGAAGGCCGCCCAGTCCAGCTGGTGTCATGGCCCCTATGTTGGAAGTGGTCATCGGCTGGTAATTGCTGTTCCAAAAGGAAGGAGGAAAGTTTCTGTGGGACATGGGTGGACCATCTGAAAGAAGAAAAAAATTATGTATCGATCCGAACAGTTTATGTATTAACTACACATATCAATTCTAATTTATCTATTCCCCATACGTTTCAGCTCAAATAATTTAGATATTAACCACACGTATCAACTTAAGTAGTTTATGTATTCACCATACGTTTCAACCCAAATAATTTAGATATTAATCACACGCATCAACTTAAATAATTTATGTATTCAAAATACGTATCAAGTCAAATAATTTATGTATTCACCATACGCATCAACTCAAATATTTTATGTATTCGCCATACATATTTTTCAGATAGTTTATGTATTAATCACAAAAATCAACTCAAATGGCTTATGTATTAACCTTGCGTATCAACTGAAATAAATTATGCGTACGTATCCATTCAAATAATAATTTATGCATTAACAATATTAATTAAAGTAATTTATGTATCAACCTATATTTATCTATTCAAATATTTCATTAATCCTTTGAAGTTTTATTTAAATAATACTAAAGTGTTTAGGTATCGAAATAATTTATAATTCCTACACCTTTCTGATTTAAGAAACCAACTCTTAATTTTTTATATTTTATTTTTATTATTTATTTTAGGATTTTCAATTTGCTGATTCCAGCCTCAAAAACTATGTTCAAAAATTAGTTTTGAAGTTCATATCATTACTTCTTATGTAGCACAAATAATTACAAGGTTAATCTGAGCCATTTTTCGCAAATTATAATTAAAATATAGAAAAATTTGAATTAATATCAAACCTTAGAATAAACAAATGTAATAATTGAGGATAAAAGTTGACTAATACGCTTAAATGGCTTAAAAAATGTTGTAAAATAAAGAAGTGAAACAGCACTCTCCTAACTAAACTAGTAGGAATATAATTCCTATATTTCAGAAAACCTCATATTTTGAGAGAATATTGAACTATTGTGATAATCTTTAAATCAAAAGTTATTAAATGTGTTCTGTTTATACGTAGCGCCATTGTTAAAATATGTGTGTCTAGATATATATATATATAGAGAGAGAAGTGTTGTGCAGATTTTGGTAATAGAAATCTGCTTGGAAATCGCAACGAATCAGACCGATGATGAATCATCCGAATTGTGCATTTATTCCAAGTAATTGTCCTGATGTCGAATTAACTTAAGTCGAAATAATCGGTATCATCAAAAATCTATGACAAAAATCTAATGAGAATTCTTCAGGCCTTGATTTCAACCATTTGGAGGACTCAAATACTGTCAAAGATTTCATTAAAATATTTTAAGTCTCAATGTTGGCAATATTAAAATTAATTGCGTGCATTTATCAGTTATAATGATGAAACAATCAGTTTAAAAAGAATTCAAGTTGCCTATCTTATGCGCTGAAAATATCGAACTAAAATCGTTCCATCACCCAGAGTCGACATTTAGTACTAAAAGAAGGTTCTGTATATTTCGCCATTTGAATAATACATTGTGCTCTCATCTTAGTTCGAAATGAAACGCTACTCGATCATTGCAATTAAATGAGGGGAATGAATAATTCTGAGGAGCTTATTATACAATGTTTGCACTTTTTCTAAACTTCGAGAATTGTGGGTGTCTTTCGGTGATAAGATCTCCGCAACAAAAGAGAGGCAATTAAATTTAACTTCGATAAGACTGCCTCACATCGTCATTATCTATGAAAGACACGTCTTTGTGAGAGAGAATAAAAGCAAGTGGAACGTCTCTCCAATTAAAATGCCGAAGACAGCTATGCAACATCGCGTCCTCTCTCGCATTCGAGAATGCCAGGAGTGAGAGACACGAATGACAGAACGTCCGCAAGAGCACAGGAACATTCGAAAACGAATGGAAGTTATTTATCACTCGATTCTTTCTGAGACAAGTTGAGAGAGAGAGAGAGGTTCTGGAATGCTCGCGTCTCTCCTTTTAAATTTCAAATGAGACCCACGAGGGTTGGAGAGAATCCAAACCGCGGCATTCTCGAATATCGAAGAAACACGAATGGTATTCGAATCTCACGGATTGACGAACTTGAAGACATTCGTCGAGTGACATCAAACGAGTTGATAGAGTGTCCGCTGAGGTTTGTTAACTGTACTCTAATGGTTTCCTTCCATATACTTCTTTAAGTAGCTGTTTTATGCAAATAACAGTTTTTTTTTGTCAATGGCATGACATGACATATTAGCCATACTAATGCTGAAAGATAGTTAATTATGTTCATCATAGTTAATATTTCATGTAAGTTAAAAAGCAATTTAAAAAAGAAAAACAGACAACAGAAATGCTAAAGAAATAAATCACGCATCGAAAGGGATTTCAATGAAGGTCTGCTAATAATGATTACTTTCACTGTGGTTGAAATAGATATTAAATGACTCAAATAGAACGACTGTAACAAGTAAAAGATAGTTTATTAAATATGTACATGTCTATTTATTGCATGCATATTGGAAGATAATTTTTAATGTCACGCTCATGTTTAGCCCCTTTTAATGCTTTCCTTTTTTTTTTTTTATCTTTCCTTGTAGGCAATGCGTAGAAAACAAAATGATTAATCAATAACAAGAAGAAATGGAAAGACTAATTCGGAACGCAATGTTAGGGTGCACGCAACCATATCTCGCAATATTGCGTCGAAAACAATAACGGGTTGCGATTACATTCCATAGCTTCCATGCAAAAAGTAGCATTCAAAAAATAGCATGTCAAAACCAAAATTTAGTTTATTTTATAACCGTCGTTGAACACCAGACTTAATTTTGGGTTTACGACTGCCAGTGTACAACTCCGTAGCCTCGTAATTTTGAACCCAATCCAGAAGACAAGCAATCTCCTGGATCAAGTATTGGGAGAAATTTTACATTCGTGGAATGGAGCACACTTTTTTTTTAATGGAACTAACCTGCATATGCGTTACATGGAGAAGAAAACAAAGACAACCTCCAATGGTTAGCTTGAAGGTAAGGAAACTCTAACCCATGATCCATCTAAAACAGAGAATATTTTACGTCACACTATGGTCTGTCCGAACCGGGTGTGGAATTCGTATCAACCACCCATCGCTGGGATTCGAACCCAGTTCGCCACATTGCAAGTAGAACGCTCTATCCCGGAGCCACGGCTCCGTTCAAAGCAAATTAATTATGTTAAATCAATCTTTATAATACGGTAATTTTCATGGACATGATTGATTATCACTTTCAGTTACCAATTTCTATAGATCGTCAATTTCATGATTTACTACGAATATATATTGAACCGTAAATTTCGACTGCGTGTTATAACAGCAGCCTATTGTTTCCTTGCAGCCTATTGTTTCCTTTCAAGATCATAGCATTGGAGGCGAACTAATAATGTTAGTAAGATTATTTTCATTTGATGTTATCATGGACCTGACAGTAAATGATAGCTGTCAGTCGCATACATTTAAAGGCTAATTTTAAGTCTGTATCAGTCACTTGTTCATCTCTCAGTTTAATTTAACATTACCCTATTGTTACCTTTAATAAATCTGATAGTTACTGATTGTTTCCTTAACTAATAGCTGTAGCACTTGACTGATAGCTACTTGAAACAATTTCAAAACAACAAAAATTTCGTTCATGTTATTGTTGGAAAGCTGGAGATTTCGTTCCTGAAAGTTCAGTTAATCGTGTGTGGCGCTGAAATCTGAACTTTGCCGTGGATTAAAGTCATGTCATTAATGAAATATGGAAAGAAACGCCCCAGTTCAGGTATTCCATACGTCATGTGACTGATATCACAAATATTTGGCCCTAAAACCCTCGCTTTAAAAAGATAGAGCTCTGAAAAAAAGATAGAAAGTGCTTTGACGTGATTAGGCAATGTTCATATTATATTTTATTGATGAAGTTTAAATTATTTTACAGAATAAAAATGCTTTCAATGTGTTATTGAAAAGCATATGAGTGTAGAGGTTATTTAAATTTTTAACTCATTTTTGAAGGAACAAAAAAACAGGAAGGAATGGTAGGAAGAAAGTGCTTAGTAACTGCAAAGTGATTCGTCTCGTTGAAGGGGATGATAAAGAAGAGCACCATTCTCATCCAAAGAAGATAAGGAGGAAGAAGATCTTTGCAACGAGGTATCACGTGGCTGCAGAAGAAAACGATCCCTTCCTTCTCATTATCGAATGAAAGAAGGGCGGTGGTAGGTAATGAGGGATGCACCAGACGATGCTCAAAGAAGAAGAAAAAAATGGATGCTTCTCTAAGGAAGGGAAGTATCCTATTTGAAATTATTGTTAAGATGGAGAGATGAGAAGTGTGAGAAATGCTTAACGGTAACCGTGATTGACAAGAGATGGCAAGTGGGTGGAGGGGTTATACTATAATGAGATGATATTGCAGTAAATCATGGCAAGTAGAAATAGAGAAACGAATTGTTTTACTCTTTCAAAGCTGATTCAATACGTTTTATTTTATCGTAAATAGTATATGTACACAATATTTGCGTAAGTTGTAGACAGCCATTTTGGTCATTCTTTTGTAGTGTCTATCCAATTAACATGACTCGGCAACTGTTGTTGTTGTTTCTAATGTAACTTGCAACCAGCAAGAATGTTTTCTGAAACCAAGTGAATTTAAGGCAGAGGGCACGTTTTTTGTTTTCCTGCGGCGTAAATCTATGGCTAAGAATAAGACTTCAGCCACACACATGTCACAGCCCGTTTACCGGGAGAATCCATTCATACATCCTTTCATTCATTTACAGATCGTAATGTTGACCTGAACCGGAGAACGATCCATCTCCAATTCAGTACCTCCAGAGGTATGATGTGCTATGGAAACATGGAGGACTTTGTGACCAGATAGATTTAACGCTCACCAGTCATGGGGAGACTTCGGCTGTCAGGGATCGAATACACGGTAAATGAAATGGTCTAGTAATCTGAATTGGGGACACAATAAAAGTGTTAACGAATACGAAATTTAAAATTTTAAAAATGACTGTTATAAACGCTTGTCTCTAC